TCTGTGGATCAAGCTAAACCCTGAGGTATTTAAACTCCTTTATTCCTTTATTTGAAGCAGCCCCCCCCCCCCCAAACTGAACAGCAGCTGGAAATATTGGATTTTTTTCCCACAAATCTTAATAAAACCTGTGCACCAAACCAAAGCAGCTATAATTCAATAAGTTTTATGGATATTGYGGTATCTTGTGTTGTGGTGGTAGCTGGACACCCCCCCAGCCCCAGAACCTGCATGTTATACATGATAATGAGGCTCTGCTAATGGAGGCTCAATAAACTGGCTCTCTTCCTGAAGTGTAGAGTAAATAAACCTCTCAGCCGGACGTATCTGTCTTCCCCTACCAGCCCAGGCTTTGAGGCCTTTAAGACCCCCCAGCCTTCTCTTATCCCCCCCAAAAAGACTAGAATCAAACACGGCACAGTCGACCAATCACAGAGCAGCGTCTCTGCTCCYTACTATGAGAGGAAAATGTTATAAATATTCTTCTGTTCTTTTTTTTTGTGTGTGTGTTTTCTTCAGGGATTTGGTGGTGGGGGTGGGGTTCTGTGTTGATTAAAAGAACTTTTTTTTCTATCTGATGGGCGACCCGAGGCCACCCACMAAGCTCACGAGCTGCGAAGGCCCCGCCGAGCCCCCGAGCCGGCTTAGAGACAGTTGTCACTTTCTCCCTAACAAACGAGTTCCCACTCCTCCTCTCTGTCAAATCACAGCCGAAGAGAGAGGAAAACCAGAGAGGGGAAATGTGGCGTCCACATTTATTTATACAGGATCCTGGTTTCTTCCCCCCCTCTCTATCCGTCTCTTCAGGCGCGAGCGATACCGCAGATACGCTCTTCCAGGAGGTCCTGGGACGGAAAGACAAGGCCGACTCCACACGCAACGCGCTCAACGTCCTGCAGCGCTTCAAGTTCCTCTTCAACCTGCCACTCAACATCGAGCGCAACATCCAGAAGGTACGAGGGCGGAAAGTAGCTGAAACCAGGAGRCAGAGCCACCTGCTTTTAGCTTCAGCTCCGGCTTGAGTTCTTAGTAAAAMAGTAGAAAAGTATTAAAGTGTCTTATAGCGTCAACGCTTCACATTCAGATCATTTCTTCTTACAGATGTTTTTCAGCACCTGTCTCATTCTGCAATATTAGTTTTACTTCAACAATTCAAACATCAAAACGTTCATCTCCTTCAGAACATTTCAGCTCTGACTTTTGGTATTTCAGTTTTTTTTAGCTATTTCACTTTTCTGGCCATATTTTTCCCATAGAAAATGAATGGAGCTGTTTTCAACATCTATAAAATCCTTCAAAATGTTTCTAAATATTTACAGAACCTGACACCTTCTGTTCTACTTCTGCTCTTTTTAACTTCCTCATGCTAATTTTAGCTACTTTTTTACTAACTTT